CTCAAACAGTAATCTACCTGAATCAATAGTGACAAAAAAAATTTTGAAATAGAGACAGAGTTACCTCAAAACAGAAAAATTCTAACAACATTATTATTACAGACCCCACCACCATTCCTTTTCTAACGGGAAATTTCATTGATGAATGCAAAATCATAGCCTTTCTACTTTTCCACAAGTTATCTTCTTATTAATTTCTAAATTGTCCAAGTCAAGCTTCTTCTTCTTTTTTTTTTTAATGACATGTCTAAGTCAAGCTTTTTTTTTTTGGTGGGTAAAATTACTAAGTCAAGCTTTGATAGAGTGTTATTTTATAACTTATTTAAAATTTTGGATTCAATACTAATTAGGCACCAACTTTTTATCATCTCTAGTGTAACTAATTAAAAAAAATAGATAGAATCGCATTTAAAAGACTTGTGAACATGTTATTCTTAGTTAAGGATCATTAACAGGTCACCATTAAGAAGGAAAACGCAAGTTTAAATTTCTATTTTAACAATATTCATTTTGTATTGATCTTTTATATTTATAATAACTTTTTCATAGGCATGCAATAGAAGTTTTCAACATATATTAGAATTAAATCAACGGTGCTAATTTTATAATTGGAAAATTTGAATGGGCTGTACTTTTTAAGGTTTGGGTCAAGTAAATCCACCAATATTCTACACCATTTCCTGCCATTTTTCTCCATTGCAAAATAGCTTTTGCATATTATTTTATTCGTTATAATTAGCTATTTTAGACTAATATTGGTCAAGTAAATTCACCAATATCATTACTCTCATTTCAGTGCTGATCAAAGCTTTCTTCTCCTTGTGAAGCCACTTAGAAAAGAAAGAGAGACTTTCAATTGTAATTATAAAAAGTCACCGCTAAAAGTCTAATAACCTATAACAGTTAAAATTTCTTCATTATTTTCCTTTTCAAACAAGCTTTTGCATATTATTTTGTTCATCATAATTAGCTATCATAGGCTATAACAATTAATTACATTATTATCCTTTCTCTTATAACTAAGCTAATCAGCTAATCACTCTCAAAGATTATATATAGTGAAGGTTTCTTCTCCTTTTTCTCCATCATAAAAAGCTCTGAGCCTATCCAACATGGGAAATCTTTACTTTCATTTCTCCTCCTCCATGCTCTGCCTATGGTTTCCCATCTTTATGTCATTCCAATTTTACCCTTGATGGATTGACACTTCTTGCTTTCAAATCTTCTATCAGGGAGCCTTACAATCATTTGAAAAATTGTTCCAACTCATTCATCTTCCTGTTGCAACTGGATTGGAGTCACTTGTGATCCTAACAATGACAGAGTGAGAATCTTGAGTCTTCCTGATCTAGGTCTTGAGGCACCTTAGCCTCACAAATTGGAAATCTGTCCTTCCTAGAAAACTTAAACTACAAAGCAACAACTTTCATGGTGGGCTACCAAAAGAGTTGCTTCAATTGCACAAATTGGAAATTCTAAACTTGAGTTATAATACTTTTAGTGGAGAAATTCTAACTTGGATTGGAAGCTTGTTTATGCTTCAACACTTGAGTCTTGGCAATAATAGTTTTGGAGGTCTCATTCCACCAAGTATATGCAATTTGTCTAATTTGGAGATGTTGGATTTGAAGTCTAATTCTATCAATGGATCTATTCCGGTGGATATTAGAAGACTTCAACACCTAAAATTTTTAAGCATTTCTAGAAACATGCTTTTAGGAAGTATACCTCCAACTATCTCTAACTTATCATTACTTGAACACATCTCATTGTCTCTCAACTTCTTAGAAAGTATGTCTTGTATAATATATCATGATATAAACATTTATTCTATTTTTCAAAATTGATGATTTTATAAAATTTTTTATAATCGTTTATATCAGTCTTATTCTTGATGTCAATCTAACTTGGGGTGTGCCATTTACTATGTCTTTTCAAAGTTAGACCTTGAACCGAAAATTCTCAAACATTTTACAATTACATGAAACAAATTAACTATATATGCTATCATCGCCAAAACAAATTTGACTATTCTTTAAAAATTATTCCTTCGATGAGTTAACTCTGACAAAAAATATTTTTGTTTAAGAAGACAATTTAATTAAATGTTATTGGGAATTCTCTTTCAGCAAGGTACTTTTTTTTTTTTTACCCTACAATTTTTGGAATTCCTTTTGTAATTTTCAATTAGCATAAGTTGATGCATGTATATCTGTATATTATCTGGTTGGTAACATTGACTAGAGATCAAATTATTGAATGCATGATGAGATACAACAATAATGTATTCCCAGAATTATATGTCTTACTCTTTCGTTTAATGCTATTTTTTATATAAGCACTCACGAAAAAAAGTACAAAGTTATTTTTTGGTCACATTGCAGGACATATTCCCAAAGAAATGAATAAGCTTACAAATCTGAAAAATAAGTACATGGGTATGAATAAGTTGTCAGGGCAAATACCAAGCATTGGAAATTTGTTCTTGCTTGAAAATTTATATCCTGCAAGCAATAGCCTCCAAGGTACATTTTTACCAATCATAATTTTTTCTTTTTTACTATCGTTTGCTTTTCTTTTTGGTACAATTATGTATAGGTCCTTTGAAGGATACTTATTTACAAATAGATCCCATATAATTTAGAAACTACAGCCAAGTCCCTTGGGATACAATTGAAATTTGAAATTACAGTGTACAGATAATACTACCCTTATGCTTGTGATGAATAATTTGCTTAATTATTAAATATGTGAAGTTATAGTTGCAAAATGTTGAAGTAATAGCTGTAAATTATTGATGAAATATTGTAAACAATTAATGTTAAACTTTATTAGTAACGTATAGATATGTGAAGTTATAGTTGTATACTGTTGATGTGATAGTTGTAAAAACTAATGAGGTAATTGTACAGAATTAGTATTAAATTTGCAATGCATGATTAGTTTAACCATTGGATATCTAAAATTACAATTGCAAAAAGTTAAAGTGATAGTTGTAATTATTGATGATGTAATTATAATTACTTGATTGATGTAATGTATTTTTAATAGGGATATTATTATCTTTGCACCATAGTTTTAAATAAGTCCCAAGGGACCTAGCTATGATTTTTAAATTTTGCGAACTTATTTATAAATAAGTCTATTCTATGAGCAAGACCTATACATAATGTTCCGTTATTTTTTAACAATAATCATTAGAAACAACTTTTTTGAGTGACCATAATTTTTGGAGGAGCATCCCTTCAAATTATATGTCAAGTTGTCAATTTCAATGGTCATATTTAGGAGACAACATATTTTCATAATTCTATACTACAAAATAAATCAAGGACCCATTTGTTTATGATTAAAAATTAAGTGAGTTTTACATCATTGGATTTTTTTTTAAAAAAAGGGATATTTGTTGTAGAGATTTTATAAAAAGCATATATTATTTTATGTTTGACTATAGTAATGAAAAGTGATTATTATTTAGTTATTTTTATATTTTATAATATCTTCATGGATCTCTATTCACAAAAAAAATATCATTTAGTTATTTTAAAAGGGTAAGACTTAGGTACTTAGCCTTATATACTTAATGTATAATACTTGCATCCAATCAAATCAAAACAAGTGGAATTTAATGTGTTAGTAATATTAATAACGAAATATTATTGTAGAATAAATAATTTATAAATGATACACATATCTTGATTTAATTGAAAATAATCACCATAACATATAAAGCTAAGTATATAAACTTTTTTTCATTTTCAGAAACTATTCAAAGTAGCTTTTCAAATTAGTCAGAACTTAGAAATATGTTTTTTTTTAGACGTTAATTATTTTTAAAAGTTTAAAAAATATAATAAAATTTCACTAAATAATTTTTTTAAAAAAATATGTGATCATCTTGTAAAAGGAAGATCAAAAATTATACCCCAAATTAAATCTCCAACTTTAATTTCATAACTTCTTTTTACAAGGATTCTTCAAAATCATAAAATAAATTCATAGGAGTTCATTATATTTTATGTTTTTAAATTAAAATTCTTCTTTGCAAAATTATTAAACCATGTGTGTCTGTGTGTGTGTATAAACTCAACAGACTATATCAAATTTGTTTCCAAAAATAAAAGTAAATTGTGGGAGGTGAGAGGTGTGGAATTAGAATGTTTAATTTTATGCAACAAAATTCACAGTATTGTGATTTTATTGTGTTGTAATGTTGCAGGAAATATTCCGAATGAAATAAGAAATCTTACAAATTTGAATAGCATATACTTAAGTTTTAATCAATTGTCTGGTCACGTACAAAGAGGCATCGGCAAGTTCACTAGACTTGACGAGTTATTTCTGGACAACAATAACTTTGAAGGTACATAAATACTTTTACCAAATTAAAGGCTAGTTCTGCTTAATTTTCTGTTAATATGACATTTTATGCATGAGCAATCAAAAAAGAGTAACTTTTTTTTTAACACATTGCAAAAGGAATTATTTCTTTACAATAAACATAGAGAATCTCTCAAATCCAAAATTATAAACATAGATGATGATAATAAGTTTCTGAGCACTAATTAATCTTAAACAGGTATAGTGAATATATACATATACTCAATGAAATGGAAAATTGACTATTATTTTATTTTATTGTTTAGATTACGACCCACGGCTTTCACAACTTGTACTACAAATTTAACAGACTATATCAAATATTCACCAACTTAAATTTCTTAATTAAAAATATATTTCAACTGCACACTACACTTTGGGATTGGTACGTAGCAATTCAAAACCATATATAATTAATGGGAATTATCATTTACTATCATTTAAACAATCTTCTTATTATTTAAAAAGTATATTGCTTTTATGAAATTTTTTTTTAAAAAAAAACCGCTACCCCTTATTAAACTTGTTAATTTGTCAAGAAATATAATTCATCAAAATAAAATGTATAAAAACTAAGCTAATATAGACTAAATTGTTTTCAAAACATAAAACAAAAATTATATATATATATATATATCATCATTTTATTGATGATTTTAAGTGTTTGCTCATCTGTTGAATATCTAAATCTATATATGAGGACAATCATGCTTTAGACATATATAAGCTTACTTTCATTTAGACCACTAACTTTAAAACACAAAATAACTTCAAATAACATAGAAAGTATACGTTACCACAAATTTAAGTGTTGCTCTTTTTACTTACAATGATGCATTGTTAATTTTTTCCCTGTTTGTAGGAAATATTCCCAATGAAATAGTAAGTCTTGCAAATCTGAAGATGATGAGCCTAAGTGTTAATCAGCTATCTGGCCCCATACCAAGAGGCATTGGAAACTTGACTGTGCTTCAGCAGTTGTATCTTGGTAGCGATAATTTAGAAGGTACATTTTCACCAAATATAATATACTACTATCAGTTTCTTTCAAAGTGATATTTTATATTGTATAATGACTTCTTTTTAATTTTTTTTCTTTGAATATGCATTTTCATTCCCCTCATGATTTTCAGCTTCTCTCTGAACCTCTCCCCGTCTATTCTTTTTCTGTTTAGATCTGATTTTGAACTGGTGAATCAACCAACCAACATGTTTTTCATGTTCCCCCCAATTTATGGACGAATTTTTGACTAGTTCACTACACATAAGATTTAATGATTTATGCTAGACTTGACCACAGGCTAGTTCACATCCAATCGACTAGTATGGCTCAACTGTTAAAACCATGATGTAACTGACTACTTAGTTTTGTAATAGTATAAATTAAAAATAATTTTAGAAGCACAGGCCAGCAAACTAAAAACTCATCATCCGCCATTAAAAAAATACCTACTAGAGCGTTTATTTTAGACATAAAAAATGTGAAATTATATCACAAAATTCTGACCACTAAATTAGTGACGGATCAAAGCGTAATTATAAGTTTGTTGCAAAGGCCCAAATCCATCACAAATTTGTTGAAAATTTCATGTTTAAGTAGTGGCTAAATCTAAGTAGTTGGGCATTTATAATTTTCTTTATATTTTAATATAAACTTTCATTGATATTTCAATTAATATTTGTATTATAGGATCAATACCTATGAAAATTGGTAATCTTCAACAGCTTGAGATATTACAATTGTCTCAAAACAATTTGAGAGGGTTTATTCCATTAGAAATTTTCAATATGTCAACTTTGGAGGTCTTGTCCATATTAAACAATTCTCTATCGGGAAGTCTTCCATCAAAATTTGGATTTGGCCTTTCTAATCTACAAATGCTTTATTTATGGGGCAACAAACTTTCCAAAAAAATCCCAAATACAATATCCAATGCTTCTAAGCTAACCATGCTAGACTTGCAAGACAATAATTTTGAAGGGGTTTTACCAAACACACTTGGGCATTTAAGATACTTAGAAACCCTTTCAGTAGGGTAATAATAATTTTACCATTATAGATAGTTCCAATTCTGAAGTTGGCTTTTTCAACTCATCGTCAAATTGTAGATATTTGAAATGTTTGACTCTCTCAATGAATCCACTGCACATGAAACTTCCCAAGTCCATTGGAAACTTGTCTAATTCTCTACAAGTGCTACTTGTAGACTCGTGTAGGATTAATGGAAACATACCATCAGAAATTGGGAATTTGTCTAACTTGTTTGAGCTATTGTTGGTTGAAAATTTTTTAAATGGATCGATACCAAAAGCAATTAGCAACATACATGCTCTTCAGTATTTGGATCTTGAAGGCAATGAGCTAGGTGGTTTGATTGTTGATGAGCTTTGTGAAATTAGAGGACTTGCCTGTCTACATTTATCTCGAAACAAGTTTTCTAGAGCAATGCCACCTTGCTTAGAAGATCTTATGTCCTTGCAAAAACTTTAATTGGACTCCAATAAGTTGATTTTTGAGGTACCTTCTTCCTTTTGGAATCTAACTGGTATATTGGAAGTAAACCTATCTTCCAATATTTTAGTTGGAAATCCATCATTCAAGATTGGTAACCTAATAGAACTTATATCATTGGATTTCTCAAGAAATCGTATATCAGGCATCATTCCATCAACTATAAGTAGATTGGAAAATTTACAAATTCTCTCATTGGCACATAACAAATTAAATGGAAAGATTCCTAAATTACTTGAGAATTTGCTGAGCTTGGTAAAGTCAGACCTTTCCCAACATCAACTGTCTGGTGAGATTCCTAAATCTCTAGAGTCACTTATATCCCTTGTGTATGTCAATCTCTCTTTTAATGAACTACAGGGTGAGATTCCAAGTGGCAGAGTCTTCAAAAATTTAACATTTGAATCTTTCATGATGAATAAAGCACTTTGTGGTGAGCCACAAATGCAAGTGTCTCCATGCAAAAAAGGAACAAGAGGTCAATGGAAAAATTGATTTTGTTAAAATGTGCATTGCCATTGGCTTTGTCAATAGCTTTAATTGCTATAGGCATTGTGCCCTTTCAACATAAACCAATAAATTCTAGGCATACCCTTAAAAAAGTTTTATCTACTTTAGGAATGCCAAGAAATTTTCTTATTTTGAAATTTTGGATGCAACTCATAGATTTGATAAGAGTAACTTACTTGGAAGGGGAAGTTTGGTTCTGTGTTCAAAGAAAAACTTTCAAGTGGAATAATGGTTGCCGTTAAAATATTCAATTTGACTCAGAAGCATTCTCAAGGAGCTTTGAGGTAGAATGCGACACAATGCATAATTTATGCCATTGAAATCTGGTGAAGATCATTAGTAGTTGTTCCAATGCTGATTTGAAGTGTTTGATAATGGAGTTCATTCTTAATGGAAGCCTTGAAAAATGGTTATATTTTGATGATCATCATTTGGATTTTCTACAAAGGTTGAATATAATGATAAATGTAGCATCATCTTTAGAATATCTTCATCATGATTTATCAATACCAGTAGTCCATTGTGATTTGAAACCAAGTAACATTTTTTTCGATGATAATATGGTTACCCATGTGAGTGACTTCGGAATTGCCAAATTTTTAGATAAAGGGAAATCTAAGACGCACACAGAGACAATATCTACAATCGGTTATATTGCACCAGGTTATCAACCTAAATCTTTATTATTCTTCTTTTACAAAACCCCATTTAAATTGGAGTTACTACAGTAAGAGACAATATTTTTTTAGATTAACAAAATTGAATGAAATTAAAGAAAAAATAAATTAGTTATTATTTTTGTGAAATGATGCACTTGTTTACAAAAACATTATGTTTTTATACATGAGAAGTTGAATTGACAAACTACATCACATTATTAAAGTTATCTGTGTAAAATAATCATAGTTGAATCTAATTTCCCTAATTATTATATAAAATTTTTATAGCTTATTTCCTTACAATTTTGATGGCTTTTTTTTTCAAAAAAGAACTATACTTTTTTAATTAATTTAGTATACTTATGTTGAATTTTTTGTTTTGCTTTTAAACATGAATGTGATGGTGTGTTTTAATGTGAGTGGTTGTGTTCGGCCCAAAAAAAAAAAAATTGTATGTGGGGTCATGTTCATCAATGTAGTAAGTAATTTTTAATATAGTGTATATAACAATTGGAGATATATATTCCTCTCAAAAATATATCCCATATATTCTATTTGATAAGAATGTTTTCTGATAGTTTTTATGTTCTAAAAACCATACATTTAAAGTACTTTTTAATTGTTATTTTAAACCTATTATATATATATATATATATATCCAAGAAATTCTAAAGAATGCTTCAAGAAATGCAAAGGAATTTGTTCTCTTAGTTAGTTCTTATTTTATCATATATAAGTTACTTGATATTTGACTTTGGTTGAATTAAATTATATCATATGCAGAATATGGATCTATTGGAATGGTTTCAACAAAAGTTGATGTGTATAGCTATGGAATATTACTAATGGAAGTGTTCACTAGGAAAAAGCCAACAGAAGGTATGTTTGTCGATGGATTAAGCTTAAAAACTTGGATAAGTGAATCAATGTCACATGCATTGATTCAAGTCATGGATTCCAATTTATTTCAAGGAGATGAACAATCTGTTAGCAATATTTTGACAACTACATCCACTATTTTCAAATTGGCTTTGACTTGCTGCTCTGATTTTCCAACAGAACATTGCAATATGTTAGATGTTGTAGCGTCATCGAACAAGATCAAGGACCTGTTTGTGCAAAGAAGTCAAGTTAAACAAAATTAATATTAAATCTATTTTGCAATTGGTGTTGTTGTCTATCCTTCATTCCTCCACTATCCCCAAAGAAAATGTTGGATATACGTAATGCCTTGTGAGAAAGGCCGATGGTATATTCTTCTAAACATTAAATACAAACTATGAGTTGTGAATTTGTAAAACCTGTTCGTTTTTATTTTTCATGAGTTGTATTTGTATTACATGGATTGTGAGCCTTTTGATTAATGACATGTGGGGGTCCATATATTTTAGTTTTACACTTACAAAAACGTCCATCCATCCACGCCTAGAAAAATTTAATGTAGTGACAAAATTAAATGAGAGATTATTCTTTCCTCGCTAAAAGTCCGAATTAGTTGACAAAAAAAAATATTGTTTTCTATTTGTAAATTGCTTTCAATTATATAATATAATATGTTAAACAATAAAAATATAAGAAAAAATTTAAATGACAATATAGTCATTTTAATTGAATCACTATACCCCAAAAAACTAGTTATTGGCATTGCAATTATATTCTTCTTTCCGATTATGCTAGGGAGAATTTGTAAGAATTTTTATATAGACCCAATGCACTGCATCATTTATATATTTTTCAGTAAAAATATGTCATGTCAAATGGCTGTAAATATAAATTGACTTTGCAATTGATAATGGTAGAGAGAAAAAATAAATGAAATTAAAGGAACACTTTAGAAAAATAAAATTATTAAAAATAATCACATAATATTTTATTTGATTGAAATAGTGCAATTGTATTAGGTAGAGCATGGATGACATGCTGCACCTGGTCCATGTAAGAATATTTTGAGGATTTGCTTCTACTGTATATGTTTATAGGAAAATAACAGTTTCATCTTAAAAACTTAATTTAATGACAATTACAAAAAAATGAGTTAAAAATATTATAGTAAATGATTACAATATATAAATAATTTAAAATCAGGACCACTGAACTCTAAAATCACATTGCATGACAAAGGGATTAAATTGAATGGAAACATTATATATTTAGCCTTATATATATATATATATATATATATTTAAGGTGCTTTTTTCCAATCAAATTAAGATATGTGGATAATTTATATTTTATATATATATATATATATATATTCTATAATAAACTCTTGTTATTAATATTATTACAACATTAAAATCTATTTGTTTTAATTTGATTATATAAAAGTACATTAAATATGTAAGGTTAAGTACCAAAGTCTTGTGCTTGAGAAATGACAAAAAACCCTCCATTAAAATTTAAAAGTATCCCTAATCATCATTGTTGCCACCACTAGAAAGCTCTACAGGTTGGACCATCGCCAGCTAGAGTGTCACGCCCCAAAAATTAGACATAACTAGCACAAAATATATGCACAAAACACACATTCCTTAAGTCTTAAGTCAAGAAACTTTTCTATTTCTAAAACACAATTAGATTCACAATATAACGAAAACTTCAATATTTTTATAAAAATTTTGGTAGAATATCTCTCATAAACAAAACCTCTTGAAATTCAACAATACAATATTTTAAACAAAATATTTAAATCAATCATGAGCTTAGCACCATCCAGCTAGCCAACAAAATATATAACAAAATAAAATCCCTAACTATAACCTATGTAGAGCACCTAGAAACTAATAAAAAGAATACAATTTTATAATTCAAATTTACATCAAAAAGCAGCTTAGTCTACATCTCTTCCACTTCCAAGTCAGTGATTAACTCCTCTACAATCAGCAGGAAGTTCAACATCAGCTAATAAATCTGAGACTAAAATATTTTACAATGAATAGTATCTCAAGAATAGAATTTAAAAGAGTAAAAATAACAAACTCAAACAATTATGTAAAATAAATAAATAAATAATGATAATTTAATATAATAAACTTAATAAATCTATAAATTTTAATCATAATCATAAAATGAGAGTGTGCTAAATTTGCTTTATTCTATCATACTTGAAGAAAACAAATTATCCATATATAAATCAAATTAGTATACTTACTAACTAAAACCATTGAAATTTCAAATACACAACTTGATTAAAACTTTAGAATATCTAAGAACTTAACATAATAGGTAACAAACGTGAATACAAAGTCTATGAGGGTAAAATAACCAAACGCGGCTTATACCATAAAGACAAATGTGGACACACAGTCTAGAAGGATAAATAATCAAACGTAACCTGAGCTATAAAATAAATGTGGACACACAGTTTATGAGGGTAATACTAACCAAATTCAGCTAGAGCCATGAAACAAACGTGAATATGAGACCCACGAATAACAAATGTGAGAACAGAGCTTATGAAAATCAAACTAGCTAGTCATTAACTATGGTGCACTAAGGGTTGATTGGATTGCCATTAGCAACTAGTGTTCTGTATAAAGTCCCCCTTCAAATCCATTTTCAAACATGTGAGGAACTCATTACTTTAAAAATGAAATTTTCATTCTCAAAATCCAACTCACATGAAGAATTTTGAGCATTAAAACCTTGTCAGAATAAAATTTCATAACTAATGTCCATACTTTCATTTATTTGACAATCAAAATTTTCCAAAGCTAATCAAGATAATTTCATAAATCTTGAAAATAAGAATCTTAGAAAAATTTACATGTACCTGCCACATCACATTTATTTCGTTGCGGTAATTTTATATTTCACATGATAAAATAATTTAATTAATAATATAACTAAATTGTCATAATAATTAGAAATGACCTTCATAAAGACAGGTGAAATCTTTTAGCAAAAACTATTATTAGTAAAATAACTGGGATGTCATTCACTTACCTAAAATTTTTTCAAAGTATAAGGTCCTCCTCTTACCACATTAATTGATTTCCTCTCCTTCCTTCCAACTTCCATAAAAGCAGCAGAGGAATGAAGAAAAGAATGCAAAGCTTCCTAGCTCTGTCAATGGAGAGTTGGCTAGGGAGGAGGAATGATAGAGGACGTCGATGAACACACTGGAACTGGAGAAGAACACTAGAATTGGATAAGAGTAGAAGCTGAGAGTTCTAGATTTTTCTTCCTCTCTCCTCTGGTATATGTCACGAATATGAACAAGAAAAGGGAAAAAATCTGTGGTGTGCAAAAATGGTAATTTAGGATGTTGGAGATATAAAATAATGCCCCATTGAGGTTCAAATTTAGGATCTGTAGGTGAGCAAGTAACATCACTTTCATTAGACTAATATTCCTTTTAATATATTTTCTCCAAAAATTAATAAAAATAAAATTAAATTATTTAATAATAAAATCAAAATATTTAAAAATAAATTTAAATTTTTAATTTAGACTCCACGGTTATTACATGGAGCTCTAGCCACTAGCCAACGAAATAATTACTTAAAAGTGACTAAGGGATTTGAACCACAAGGCCATTGGTACTATTAATTATATGTTGCAAAATGTTATATATAAAATGAACCAAGTTCCTAAACCAAGTTCACTAACATCATGATGATTTATTATAACCATAACTTAAAGCTGTAATTTTAGTAGTGTATAGTTTATTAATTCATCAAAAGGAACTTGTTGACAATCTCATTTAAATATCCAATTGTTCTATGCTATGAAAGTGCACAGGTCATGATAAAAAATGCAATGTGAATAGAGTACCATTCTCACATAGACTTGCATTGTCTTAAAAGTATGATCGAGCAAAAGATATTGCAAATTCAACTAAATTGAGCAAAGCACAATTAGTTGGACAAGATTGGTTGCTTCGATTGTATTAAAACTAGAAAATAAGGAAAAGCAAATGATTCTTATACTAATCAAGAATGAAATGGGACTTTGGATTATTTGTTTCCCTTGCATTTAATGCATAACACAAAAATTACATCCTCTTATAAATGTTCTTAATAAAAATAAGTGCTAATCTAGGATTCTAAAAATACTTGAATAAGCTCTTTCAATGATCATGATCAAGTTTTTAATTTCATTAATTGCTTAATTAATCACTTGTTACAATTAACAAAATCTAATTTTTAAGTTTCAACCCTAATGTGGCTATACAAGTTTAGAAAACATATATATATCTTGCTAACAAAACCATTTATGCATCATGCAAACTCAAGTTTTTGCACTATTTTATCGAAGATCTACATTCAAGCTAGTTAGCCTTCTCAAGCATCACTCAAATGAACAAAACATCTAAATTATGGTCAATCACTTAGGAGCATTAAGAGAAGAGTAAAATAAACACTTAACATATAATTAATCACAAAAAAGATAGGAGAAAGTTAATATTAATTAATTCATGCAAGCATTCAAAGTAACTTTAGAACAAATGTGTTTTGCTACTCATAAACATCCAAAAGCTACAAATATACAAAATATTTGACAGATTTTTGTCTATTTTTTTTCATATTTGGTTTGTTCCTTTTTTTTTCTCATTTTTTCATCTTTAGACTTTTCAAAAACATCAATAAAGAATAGAAAATGCAACAAAAATAGTAGAAAATTTGCCCAAAACTATCAATATAAAGTCATGTGTGCAAAACCAAATATATAAGATGCACATTTGTTCCTGGTTTGGATGTTCAAAATATGTGTCAAAATATATTAAAATCCAAAAAAATTGTGCTAAAATGAAATAAAATTGTAAAAATTATAAATAATAAAAATTTTAATTTTAAAGCATGGACGTATATTCTTAAGTTTAAATTTAATTTAAAAATTAATATTTTTAAGTAAAAAAAGCAGCCCAAAAAAGTTGTTCGAGCCATTTTTTCAGGGTCAGGCTTCAAAGTTTAATTTTTTTAAAAAATGTTAATTTTTTAAAGCCCAAACACCCATTCCTAGTAGTGGTAATCTAAAGTAGAATGAGAACTATAAATAAACCATAAAAGTATGTTTTGACTTTTGAAAACCATGTGAAAGTGGTTTTACTTTTTTTTCTCCAGAAGCCATGCATACATTCATGCTTAAAGAGTGTTCATAAAGGTATTTAGATAGATTACTCATTAATAAGATCATCACATTAAATGGTAGCAAGATTTAAACTTATTAATGTATTTACAAGAAACAAGTTATATTCTAAAAAGTAGTAATAATTATTACGTATAAAGCAAAATTCCATAATATCATTGTTCTAATGTAGAGAGACAATTGTGTATGTAAGTCGCTAATGAGATAATGCGATCATCAGAAGTAAGAAATTATTGCCTTCCGTGTCTTTTACGTTCAGAAGACTAGTTTAATTTGAATGTCATAAATCAATAGTTTCCTGAAATTTTACCATCTAGCTAGCAAGCCAATCTTTCCCACAAAAACACGTTCTTTTACTTTTCTTCACCCCAAACACTGAGTGTATCCACCACTTCCAATCTCAAACCACCAAGCAGAGCCATAACATACTCATTACAACAGAGATCATTCAATGATTCACAAAGAAAATCACATGGCTTCTGTCAAACAAGTTTCCCTTTCATTACTAACTCCTCATTTCTTCCTTCTTGGCTTCTGTTAAACAAGTTTGTTTGCTGACGCCTATAACACCGAAAACTACAAATACGTCAACCTAGCTTGCTTGTCTGACATTGACAATGGCCAAAACTCCTAAACTTAACCTTGCCAGCCATTGTGACGCCACGGCCAATACTTATACCAAATTTAGGATGGACATCAAAACTTACGAAAATAAGAGCATTAAAGTGCTTCTCTTTCTCTCCACGGAAGCAACGGAAGTCACTCCCTCAACTCCGCCGATAAAAAGAGAATTAGAGAGAAAAGAGAAACTCAAATAAAGGGAACGATTCAATATTCACATCAATTTCTTCAAAACTAATTTGAATACAGCTGAGAAGCTCTAAGATTATTTATAAAGCTCTAAAAATATTAAAATAATAATAAATGAAATCTTAACATAATCCTAAAAGATAACAACAAGGATAATCCTATTTATTGGAAATAAAGAAAATCTAAAATAATCATAAAAAAGATAGATAAGAAAATCTAATTAAACCCTAAATAATCTAATGGATATTCAATATCCTTATTCAAACAATATTAATAGAATAATCCTAAATATCTAAAATAAAACTAATTGAATCTCATCCATATTCCACCGACAATCTACTTCACTGCCGCTTGGTGATGCACGATTTTGGATGGCATCGATTTCGATATCATGGCGGGTTCAAGCCAGCATTGGGATGATCTAGATAAAGCTTTAAGGACTTGCACTAGTAGTTGATCTTCTCTGCTGCACTGTAATGTACATTCCCAGATGCTCTCTTGTGCTCGGCGATCAAAACCTACTTGTTCGATTACGTTTGGCTTCAATTTTTTAACAACCCTCCATGGCAGTATACCGATGGAAACATGACCAATCTTGTGAATGCATGGATCAAGCAAGTGTTCTTGGGGATTCTGACATCACCGGACGAGGCTAACATTGGCGGGTTTATTTCGGCAAACATTCTGACGTCTCAGGTTCTTCCAACTCTCAGAGGGTCTTCTAAGTATGGCCAAAGTGGATATAGCAAAGCCATTAAAGATAATGTCTAAAGAACTACTCAAGAGTGTTAGCTTTTTAATTGTCAGTTGATCACTGAAACTGCTCCCATTGATCAGGTCCTACGTCTGTGATAGATATACCATAAAAAATAATTAATAAAATTAATTAATATATTTCCAGAATAATATAATTTTAATTTCAAATTTATATTTATGCATATGAAAATATAAATTATTTATTAGAAAGGTCCTACATCCATAAGAGGATTCAAACCCTTATCTTGGTATGAATTACATCTTTAATTTGCAGTGTGGACTAACCATAGTGGCTTATAATTTCTTAATTTCTATTTATATTTTTTAATTTGAGTTGATCCTAGTGTTTTTAAGAAATTTATGGCAAATATACGTCTTTAGTGATTTAATATTTCACAAGTTTCATTGTAATCCCTTAATTTTATAAAGTGTTTTTTCAATCTATTAATCCCAATACAGTTAGTTTTGTTAACAAAAAATGCTGACATTAAACTTTTAAAGGTTGACAAAATATTCTCCAATATCGACATATTAATTTTTTTTAAGGTAACAATGAATGACATAAAATGTTATTATTTAACTAATGGGTCAGAATTAGAGGACTGAAAATTTTCATAAAAAAAATATTCAAACTCAAACCCTACACAAAGTTAAAGAGTTAATCTAAATATCCAATGTGTCTCACATTGTTCGTCTCATTTTTATTTATAATTTGTTATCCTTAACTTTACCTCAAATTTTCAATTTCTTTCTTCTTTTTTATTTTAATTTTATTTATTAACAATTTTATGATTCTTCATTTTTCCCCTTAATTTTATGTTGTTTCTTGTGTTTCATTAATTTTGAAAAATAAAATAATATTTTATTTAGAAATTAATCAATACACTTTACAAGAAAAAAATTTGAATGCGTTGTTGGTAATGGATGGAAGTGAGATGTTAAAAAAAATGGTGAAATGTAAAAAATATATAAAAAAATAAAGTAGCATTAAGCAAAGATATATAGAATGAAATAAAAAGGCAAAATATGGGGAATCCGGAAAATGCATAGTGAACCGTACCCGACAAATATATATATATATATATATATATATAAATTTATCGCCAATCATATCATAAGATTACTTGAATTCATAAAAAATGAATGCATTTGTAATCCTCATGAAATAGAATCTTCCAATTCAAATACATTTACAGTTCTTCTATCTATTCTTTTCATATTTTGAAAGCTGATGCATCATAACCTCGCTTGAAAATTTTTAATATGACTTAATTTTTTACAGACCTTTTTTTCCCTACGAATTCTCAACAAATTGTATTAGAAGACAAAGTCTCAAGTTTTAATTCAAATGGTTCAAAAAAAAAATGTTGGAAAAAAAAATGATATCAATGAAAAGATATAGTTTGCAATATATAGCTGGTAAATAAATCTAGCCATGCCAATAGTTTGAAATAAAACAATAAATTCACGAAAATAGAAAAAATGTTTTCCATAATGTATGGATATTATTTTATGTATTTGTAATTTTTCAAAAAGATCTTGCTGTGAAAGGAATGCCGTGTTTTGATGGTCAAAGAGGACTTTGACTTCTTCTTTTTTTGTCATTTTACATGCGACTGAAAATACCTCAAGAAAATAATGAACGTGATAAGAACTTACCACTTGAGTCATGAGTGATGGTGATAGTTACGGAAAAATTAATCATGCTTTTCATATATCATTTATCTTTCTTGTAGGGAAAGACTTGTGTTTATGAAGTCTCCAATGACATTATTTGCTCCGTGTCACTTGAGCTTGACTTGAGCATATTCCTTTCATAATATTTAGTCAAGGACTCAAGGCTGTCAACTGTTCATATTAATAATGGTGAGGATTTTTTTTATTAAATTTTAGTTTCCTTAAATATTGATTTGGTCCTTTAAATTAAATTTGTATTGATTTGATGCCTAATATTTTTTAAAATTATGATGTGAGTCCTTTACATTTTAAAACGCAAAATGAGTCTCAAATTAATTAATCTAATGTGTATTAATTTTAGTTGTGACTTGAATTTTTTCTCTAATATTTTTCCTATTATTTTCTCACCATTTTCTGCTTGTTCTTCTCTTGAGTCTCAGATTTTTTCTCTTCTTCTCATTTATTTCTTAATTTTGCTGGTTTTTTTCTCAGCCCTCTGTCCCCACCCCCTTCCTTTCTTTTTTGATGTATTTCGAATTGATTAACTCTTGATATCATGCCAAAAAAAAGCGATATACATAAGACTCGTTGGAAATATGCATGAATCGTTAATCCAAATAATTATAATTAAAATAAATTCAGCATGGAAACTCACACTCTTTTTTTTTTTTCTTGACGAAATCCTACAATCACGTACACCGAATTTACTTAGATGATAAAAAACTGTATACAAATGTGTTTACGTTTTAGCTAGAAAATTACGTACCTAGCTCTCACTTTCCCAGAGACGATCAACAAGAGCTCAGCTAATGTTAAATAATGAAGATTATTATTAATAGCATTCGAGGGTATATATATATATTTAAAGATTTGAAATAATAAGAGTTCAGGAAAAAAAAATTAAATTATGACGGAGTTAAGATAAAATTTAGATTTGCATGAATTTTTAAGTGCCCAAATTGAGGATTTGACTCAAATCCAAATCCATATGTATACAACATAACATAATTGTTTTTTTTTTTTTAGACCTGAACTATGATAAATAAATTATGATTTGCTTTCGCGTCCTTCGAATTGGCATGAGTATATTATTTCACATTATTGAGTCAAGTCGAGGCTAGGCTGAACTTTTCAGGATACAACTCGGCACTTTCTTTGAAGGGAAAATAGGGAGGACCACTAGAAAAAATTTATATTAATTAAAGACTATGTGCTGTCAAAAGTGGAGTAAAAAAAGCTCAAATAGACTATTATTAATTTAAAATAAATTGGTAAAACTTGAATGAATATTTGTTAATTAAAAAAGTAACCTGAATTGACAAGTATCGATTTGAGTTTTAATTACAAATAATTCTTAACTAATATAAATTTCCTCCAGCGACCTTGATTGATATTTTCCCTTCTTTGAATGCTCTTATAGGATAAAACTACCAATTCATTAATATAGTCTTCTTGTCAACCTTCGGTGTCAGCCAAACGCCAAAACTTAACCTTGGCATCCACTGCCATCCTGATGGCACCACCTGCACCGTCTTTAGCTCAGAGATTCACGCTTGCCAAGTCAATGGCATCAAAGTGCTTCTCTCCCTTGGTGTTTTTCCCAGACTCTACTCTCTGAGATCTGCCAATGACGCCAGCCAAGTTGCTCAATATCTTGGGGACCACTTCCTCAAGAGAAAGTTCTGACTAAAGGCCCTTGGGCAGCGCCGTTTTGGATGGCATCGACTTCGACATTAAGACCAGCGATAGCCAACACTGGGACAAGCTTGCTAGAGCTTTGAAGAATTTTGACCAGCAACTGATTCTCTCGGTGGCACCGCAATGTCTGATAACCCCATAAATCTGTTACTTGGACTCTGCAATTAAAACAGGGTTCTTTATATAATTGGGTTCAGTTCTACAACAACGCTCCGTGTCACTACAATGGAGAGACACAAACAATCTTTTGACCACTTAGAACCAATGGACTGTCGTGCAGGCCGATCAGGTGTTCTTGGGGGTTCCAGCATTGGTGGATACGGCCACAAACGGTGGGTTTATTCCAACGGACGTGATGATTTCTCAGGTTCTTCCAGCAATTAATCAGTCTTCCAAGTACGGTGGAGTTATGATCTCAAAAGTGGATATAGTGATGCCATTAGGGCATCAATATAAGTGTTTATCTATGCACCTAGCTTTGAACTCGAAACTTCTAATTGAGAGGGATCAACTTATTATCAGTTGATCCAAGGCCAGTGATAGTCTTTACTTTATAATATGTGGGAGATTGGTAGTGTTTGTTTTCTACGCATGTATTATGAGTGAAGTAAAATTCACTTTCGTATGTAAAAGATGAATTTGAAATAAATAATAAAATAAAAAGAGTTTCAATTTTCACTTTCATCTTGATCGGATTAGTGCGTTATCACCTAAATAATTCAGTAAAGCAAAGTAGATTATGTACGCCAACATTTATCATCGTCCATGACTGGTTTAAAACTAAAATGAATGGGGGGAAAAGTACTAACAAATATTTGCTTTTATTATTCAAGAAAAATTCAGGTTTTGGAACTTCGTACTGCTCATCGATCATCTTCTATATTGTGACATTAACAGATTTTTAATTTCTCAAAATTGTATAACATAGCCAAGCTATTCCATCTAACTGAAAACATATTTACAAATGAACTCTCTTATCATTTTTAATTCAAGGATGGCCATAACATAGGCTTTTTTTCCCCTTATGCATAGGCTATAGTAGTTATTAAGACAAGAAAAATGAGAATGAAGCTTCAAATGTCTTTAAAACTTTAAACTCTTGATCTCAACTCCTTCAATGCCCGAGTCATGGCTAAACAATGCCTCCAAACTGCCTTCAAGGAGAAAGTAGAAATATATATATATATATATATATTGGTTTTGATTATAACAAAGATAATATTGAGCGTTTAACATGTTTTACTCAGAAATATGGTAAGGAAGTAAGTTGGATGGCTTAAAATTCCTACCTCTTTATTTTGTCAAACTCTTGAATGCATTTGCTATTCAAAGTTAATACACACATGGATCTGCATGCTTACACGTGTGTTTCAACTTCTTCCATATTCTCATACACTTATGAATCAATATGCATACACACGTGTTTCATCTTATGTCATATTTTTCAAATCTTCAAAGTTTTGTTTTGATTATTGGAAGTGTCTATGCCTTTGTGGTTAAGTTACTCTAAACATTGAACTTTTGTCTGAAAAACTTTGAAGTTTCTATGGCCTTTGTTATTTCATTGTCAATCTTTGAAGTTTGAGTAGCTTTTGTGCATCTCTCTAATAAGTTTCCAAGTTTGTATCGCTCTTCGAGAA